GGGGGGGGGGGGGGAAATAAGGATAAGTAAATAAAACAACTAATGTACTAGATAATGGGGAGAGTGATGAAAATATGAAACATGGGGGTAGAGAGTTTGGGGTATTTTTAAAACTTTTTTTTAATGTTTATTTTTGAGAGAGACACAGACAGAATGCAAGTGGGTTAGGGGCAGAGAGAGGGAGGCACAGAATCCGAAGCAGGCTCCAGGCTCCGAGCTGTCAGTACAGAGCCAGACGTGGGGCTTGAACTCACGAGCTGTGAGATCGTGACCTGAGCCGAAGTCGGACGCTCAACCGACTGAGCCACCCAGGTGCCCCTTGGGGTATTTTATTTTAAAACAGTTAGCGAACGCCTCCTCGAGAAGGTGATATTTGAGCAAAGGCTTGAAGGAGGTCACTTCTTCAGGTGGATATGGAGGGAAGGGTGTTCCAGGCAGAGGGAGCAGCCTGTGCAAAGGCCCTGAGGCAGGGGTGTGTCTGAGATATTTAAGGGGCAGCCAGGAGCCCAGTGAGGCTGGAGCAGAGTAAGTGAGGGGTGAGTGGGAGGAAGCGTGACAAGGAGGGGTGACAAGGCAGTGGTGCAGGACCTGGGGCCACTGGGAGGACTTCAGCGTTTCCTGAGTGAGGTAGGAACTTGCAAGCATTTTGGTTTTTGCTTTGTCTTAATTTTCCTCTGTTTGGGTGGAGGGTGGGGCGTGTCATTTGATTGTATAACTTCGAGTCCCTGAGACAGATCATCAGACTCTCGAAACTTCAACGCACCAACCTTTTGTCTGAAAAGAGCACAGCGCAAACAATAAGTATCTGTGTTTTCTATTACAATCTAGTTCTTAAAGTACATGGGCTCATCATGCTCTCTCGCACCGACCTGAGCATGCTCCCCTGGTCTGCTGATCCCACACTTGCCCGAGGAGGGGTGGAGGTGGGGCGTCTGATTTCTGAGTTCTCAAACTACGATTATTCGGTCAGACATCTTCCCCCATGAAGGGAGGAGAGACAACCTCAGGAAAGAGCCTCAAGCCCCTGCCACCAGCCACCCCCGCCCCCCGCCAACCCTAGTTTCCTGGAGGTCACAAACCATGCCCTAACAATCTTTCCATCGCCGGTGCTCACAGCAGTGCCTGGCCCAGAAACTGCCCTCTGAGCGTTTGTCAAATGAGTAATTGAGTGACAAACTGATTCAGACAAGAGGACTGGCCACATCTATCCTGTGACCACTGATGTTAGGGCGTGTGCAGAGGAAAGACAACCCAGCCCTGGGAAGGGTCCCCCCCCCCCCCGTGCCCCACTTGCCCCAGCTCCCACCTGGTAGAAATGGCTGTTCTCTTGGG